CTAAAAGGTTCCGCTAATTCTGACGTGTGATCTCAGCTGTGCTTAATCACTGGCATTCTAACTACCTCTGATAATACCAGTAGCCAGTTTGCCAGCTTGTATTCCGGTGAGTTGCTCATGGATCGCGTTGGTCTCACTGGGACATCAACCTTGCGTTATTCTGACAAATCATGGAGTTGAAACTAGACCATAAGTCTTAAGAATTTTGCGGTTGCAGAGTTAATAACCCTCCCTTCCAAAAAAGTCTGCAATTTCTTATTTATCTCTCTGTACGGTTCTGCATGGTTGCCATGGTTTTTATCCGGTTGGAAGCATTGTGGTCACTAATTATCATCATCATCTCCACATAGGTGTATCCAGCTGGCACCGCAGCACCCAGTTCCTTTTCTGATTTAAATGAAAGTGCTTTTCCTACGAATTACAGCTGTTTTAAAACATCACCTTTCTGGACTGCTGGACGATCCTTGTCTGTAGGTCTTATTTCGGTATTGAGATAAAAGAATCTGGATGGAAGGGACTGGCTTCTTACCACTGATTGTTATCCCTGGAGGTTCATGTGAGGCCATCAATTACTCTGTAGTAATTTAACTGATTTTCCATCTTGTTCATGATCTTTGGTGGAACATGCATTTTAGGCCACAGGACAATGCCTCAATTTGCAGTTGATTTAAGTAGGCAGATGTGAGGTTAGTAGCGTAACTTGATGGGACAAATGTTAAAATACATACACATAGTTGATGCTTCAATGTGTTTTCGAAACGCTCTGTCCAGTTTTCCCTAGTTTTATGCGCAGTATCGTAATCAAACCTTTTAAATTTCAGTAATATATCGTTTAATTTGTAGATTTATTCTTGTTTGTACAAGTTTATCTATCAGAATTGTTTTATCCTCAATGGATTCCTCAAGAAACAGCTGGGTGTTCCGTCTTAACTTGCATTCGATTGTAGCTTGGGAGCACGCAGGCATTTACAGTATGCAGCAGGGAGTTGTTTCCTGTCTGGACAGCTTTCCAGGGGGTCCAATTGCAAGTAAACTTTGGCTAGTTTGCATTTTAACTTGACTATTACTTCTAACAGATTCCTGCTGTAATTTGGGAGATGGTTTGTGAGATAACTGAAGCGACTTGTCATTTTCAGGCTGCGGACAAACCATATTTTACACGACAATTATGCGTTACTTAATAAATTTGGTAAGATTATAGTCAAAATGCACGAAAAAATATTATGAAGTCTTGCCAACCACCGCTGGGCCTACATAAATTAGGGAGTGGTGATAGAGGTTTGTTTTGAAAAACCAATGGCCTATGCAGTGTCCAGCCGAAAACACACTACATTCCTTTTGGGCGCGTAACGAACAACAATTTATTGGTTCATACGGTCCCAGTGATCCAACTGACCAAGGTTCACTTCACATTGGTGTTTCGCGTCGCACTCTATTCACAATAGGGCTTATAAAGAACCCACCAAATAGACTGAGCATTCAAAGTCAAAAAGATATAAAATTTTACGCATACATGTAAGCTATTTAAAGACAATACAGAGAAAGAGCGTAATTAAATAAAGCCTAATTGGTGGGTCAAGTTTGGACTACAGGTTGTGTGATTGGATTGCGACGCGCAGTCTCAACGTAATGGACCGCAATTTGCATTGAAGTGAACCTCAGTCCCTGCGATCACTGGAATCATAGTCAAAGCAGATGGAAATTGGGTGCTGCCTGCCCGAAAACGCTGCATAACCGCGATGCGTTTCGATGTGTTTTTATTTTATTAGACGGAGATAGAAGGCCTAGAAACCGTGACCATTGGAATCGTAGCCGAAACCTCTAGCCCTTTGGCTACAGCGTAAGGTAATACATATTTATTTAGCCAATCACTATGATTATTTTCGACGCAGGCGAATCTTATCTATAAAAAATTCAAGAGTTAACTCCTAGCTGGATGACAAAAAATACCGATTGTGATCAGATGAAAACGCTCACATGCTTTGTCAGTACATGCAACTCAATAAATATGCAGGTAGAACAATACTATATATTAATGCGCGACGCGAGCAGTTTCATGCTTGTGACCAGATTTTCTCTAATGCTATAAGTCTAGATTACCAGGATGTAGGTGTGCTTCTTCTGTTTAGTTGAGCAACTTACGAGTTTTTAAAAGCCTTTATTCATTCATCTGTGATACGGCCTAAATCTTAGAAAAGTGACAGAAAATTTATACATATTCTTGCGCTTTAGCTAGCGGAATAACTTTCAGTAAGCAAACGTAATTTCTCTGCTAGCAAGATATTCACATTTAGTATTAATGCGATTCTCATCATCACATCACGCATTATGAAAGTCCGAAAGACGCTAAGGTTTGGAGCACGTGTGTCTTAACCGTTTCTTACTAGTGGTTACTATAAATGAGAGCTCATTGACAATGGACAGCTTGCAACAGGACGGATGTAATATGACGGGTATCATATGGCCATACATCGAAGTCATTTCCGTTTTCCAGGGACACAGATATATACATGCCAATAGCTGACATATGGGAAATATTTGGCAGCAGCTGCTTGAAAAACTGTCATGCATTTAACTATTACGCAGATAATTCAAGGGCGACTAAGGTTCCATTAAATTGATTACCAACTTGGTAATGCTGCTATTGAAAGTCATGAAATCTAATATGGGCAGATTTGGTTTGGAGCAAAATTTCCTTAATGATTTAAGCTGCATAGGAAAAATATTTGCCCCTTCTAACTTTGCCTGTAAATCTGCATACAGAAATTGAGAAAAACAAATGCGTTTATGTGGGCCGTTTAAAAATATTTTAACGCCTATTGAAATCAAGGTTTGCTAAAACATGAAATCTACGCTAATACCTGAACTGCAGATATGCTGGCTGATTTCACACTGGGACTAATTCTGAAGAAGTTCTATAATTTGGAGCCGTAGATACTGAAATTTGTCTGTAATAAGCATGCCTGGTTTTTATATTTTCGGTAAACCTAGAGATATGTTTGGCTTGCCGTCAATGACAATATATTAATAAGTATCGTGATGTATTTTCCTAAAAGAAGCTTACTATAAACATTGTAGTTCAACAGCGAAATACTTAGGAAACAAATTGTCCGGTCGAGAAATAATTTTTCACCTTTTTCCTGTTGTACATTCGCGGTACGGAGGTGAAGTAAAGTGTTGATCAAATAATACATTAGCCCCTACCGTAGCAGATATGAATGTCCAAGTAATGCATACAAAATGGTGTGTTTGCCTTCAAGGTAGTGACTATAAGCAGCTTCACAGTAATCGGTAAATGAACCACGTTCTGACGCAAAAAGCGAAGGAAGTGTTGAGAGAATCGCGAAATACTTTATATATCAGATGTTACTTGTTTCGTTTCAGAAAATAAAAAAAACCGAAGAGCAGTGCTTATTGGGTTCGCCTGATGTAACAAATTGTGCAGCCGATATGACAGATCAAAGAAGTACAATCTAACGCATTTAGAAAATATTAGCAACGGTTCTTATAACACTTAACTAGATATGAGAGTGCAAGGATGACTTAATATAATTTAAAAACCAATCAATATTTCAATGACAGTAAGCGAAGCTAAAGAAGTAAACTTGAGAGGAAAACATGAATTTTTTAAAAGATACTTCGAACAATATTTGCAAGTTGGTAAAACAAGCAACTGAATAATTCAACTGTATTTTTAACGGTATGTAAGCGCTACTACCTAGCGATATAGATTATAAAGTGGAACCTTTACTAGTAGTATTTACAAAGTACGTCGTAACGTTTGTTTTCAGGAGTCTATAGCAATGACACCGTAGAGGGCAAAATTTCCAAGTATTTTGACAAACCGGATGTCAAAGTGTGCAAATGCATTCTACTAGTTCAGGCGTTCCAATTTGTAAGCGCGTTAAATACAATGAATATTTTGTAAACCTTGTCTTCTTGCGTTGCTAGGATCTGCGGATCTACGTTGGAATCATCAAAAGCACGATTCCAGCGGGCACCTTTAGATATTGCATTAGACTTCTCTAAATCACACTGTCCTGTATTCCCGGGGGCCGTCTGTGGGTACATTTTTGAACCTCTAACGATTAACAGCTTAAAACCATTGTTCATGAAATCCTTAACATAACTTTTCAAAGTCTACATTATGAGCAATCTGTTTGACCTTTATGGAATATTAGTGAAACAGGAGTATATGAAGATATTGAGATTCTACGCCGTAATTTCAAATTAGGACATGTTAATAACCGCGGATTTTCGATATATTTGAACTGTCAGGAACCCTTAATTGAGATTTTGTCGTTTGCGTTTGAGCAGTATCTAAGTTTTAAAATTATTTATCAGCTGTAATTTATGTTTCGACAGAACGTGTAAAACACAAATTTGAACCCTATAAAGAATAAAATTTTAATAGAAAGCATTACTAAATGCATATAAAAGAACTGGCATTTTACACGAAAATGAAGGAAAGCAGCTGGAAATTATCAGCAAATAGGCCGTTTAAACCATCCTGATCGCAAACTGATGTAATTAAAACGTATACAAAATGACACTGTAGCTACTGATTAGTTGATTCTGATGGAAAGCGGCAGTTTTTCTAAATACAGTTAAATCACAAAAAGCATCCAGATTCCTGGTTCAGAGAAATATATAGACTCTATACTTTTTCTGGTTTTAACTTACCAACTGCTAGGAGCATATTTGTCTATCATTTGGTCTTATGCAGATGTCGTCACTAATTTCATCCAGGGATGTACGTTCAACTTTCCCAGATGCAGAGTGTCTTCTGATATATCATTTAAGATTCTTTTATACTATTTATTAAAATAATCTCGAATTTCACGGTTGGTTCGTCTACTGCTAAACGACGTGGGTTAATAATGCAACTGCTCCAGTTTTTACTTTTTCCGTTCTGTAGAATAATTGTTATCCTCATCTGCATCACTGTAATCGTATGCTTTGGATTACGCCTCAATGATTGGCATCGCCGTTACAAACTAATGCAGAGGTACTTCGTCTACGTGACTAAAGACCCTGGTGACTCTGATAAAGTCCTGTTTGGAGGAGGACAATGGCCAGAAGACACCGACGCCGTAAGAGATGCGGGACACACTGTCGATCCAGTCGAAAAAATAGCTTCAGTTACATCATCAAAAGGCATGGTACTGACCCTGTGTAATCTTAACCCAATACGGTAAGTGTTGTTCAGATGGAATATACTCCATTTGTGTAAATAATTGTACCACATTATAGCTCAGTGCTATAAATAAAATGTATCTGATACATTTACACGGTAATATGAGTAAGGTGACCTCCACTAAGCGTTAAATCAGCATAACTTTTACGAACTCCAGGATATTTAAAAGCCTAATTAGATAACGACGGAAGCCTAAGAGAAATGATCAAGCTAGTTAAAACACATGATGTTAATCTCGAACGCATGTCCAAGTTTGGCAAGTTCAACTAGCCGTCTGTTACTATCAAGTGTATATAATAGTCTTAAAGTTTGTATACTACGTATTCTGTGTCTGATCTTATTCCTATGCGTGCTGCCAAAATGTATTCAACCTATGAAAGAATGCCACCTGTCAGAAGATTAACTTCTTATTTAACATTAAAGTACCTGATGTGATCATATTTCCTTCGTACCATATAATAGGACTAACGAAGTATTATTGTAAAATTCGCCAAAATATTTGGTTAGAACCATGCTGATGACCAGAGTGACAGGGTAAATCCTGGTAACATAGTTCATGGTTATGTATTGTAAATTATTAAACCAACGTTACTTCCTAATCAAACATTCAGTATAGAACTGAAATTTATAGGCTAGCTTCCTCCGGTTTTCAAGGCGACCACAATGGTGATCTTTCATCCCTGCACATCAAATTAATATTTATAACTCTTTGTCGCAATAACGTACATCAGGATAAATGGCAATTTTTAGTGCGAGCCAGCGTCTACAATCTGAGTGATGTCATGATTAGTTGAAGTTGCTTTAAGATACTATTGGTCATGGTCGCGAATACCTTTACAATTGTAATGACTTTACACAAGGTGGGATTCTGTCTAAATCCAACATATTACTTGCCATTACCCTTGTTTATATAGCACGATCGACCATAAGTGTGAAATTGAACAAATCCTCTGTTAAATGATATTGTCTTGTGGATGCATGATGCTCCCATGTCTGGTATTGCGACGAGCGATCGGACAAAATCACATCACTTATTTTCGACAAATGCGCAGTGCGTATGTTCCTCGCCATATCGCATACGCCATTCTAACCTGACATCCATGGCTGAAACACGACCGTATTGCACATCAGGCGTCGAAATATGTTATTGGATTGCGTACGCTCTCATATGAAGAAATGCTGAAATGATGAGAGGCGGGATATTCAGCGGAAGGTATTGCAGATTTACCGGAAATCAGACAATGTTATAATGCATCTTCGCCAGACACCTCATGTGTGCCAATCTTTACTGCAACGCGAACCTGAGAGCTTACTCACTGAAACTCACTGAGCAGTATGGCCGTCTGTAGTGCCGCAGAAATTTATTTCCATTCATGTATGTCACCCAATTCAGGCATGAATTTGTCCTCCTTGCAAGGTTACTAACAATATTAAAAAACAGTTGGATGCCACATTTATTCACTTAAAGTTTGTCTCTTAGCACTCACTCTAACATAATTCTGATATATATTTATTATTTCATTGCTGTTATTTGTTCGTGCTGTGAAATGACACCGTTCGCAATAAAAAGGCGGAATAAACAATGAGTCATTCTTTGCATAATTGAAGTATTAAGTTTTTCGGTAATAATTTCCAATAGCCATGTTAAACTACCCAACGAAAGATAAATCAGTTCTTCTTTAGCGGCATAATTCCATCGTACTTTGTTAAATGTTCTAGTCGGGTTTTGGATTTGTTACGTTGCACGATTCTTGGAGACTTCACAAAAAGGTGTTGCATTGTTTTGTCACCTAACCGAATCAGTGATTGGAATCAGATCTGCAAGTAAACTGCTAGTTAGGGCAAAACGTAGCACGCACGCCACCATTCTAGAACATTAAGTTCCGTTTTCAACCGGCACAAGGTATGCGCCTCGGGTGAACTATTATCTATTTTGTTCTATCAAGGTTTGCTCGCTAGATACTTCGCTTATTTAGACCTGTGTGTTGCGCTATACAAATTTAATCCAGAAAGATTAATTCTAATTTGCGGTAAGGCTAATTGTACATTTGTGTTCATTATCTGCAAATGTTTATCAATTAGATAATGATCATACTTTCGACGAAATGCAGTTTCCTACTTTAGCCATCAAACAATATTTCTTCCTATTTTTCAATGATCTAAATGAATTTTCTACGTTTGCTATCAGCGGGACTTCACTTTTTGCTGTCCAAAATGGTTCCAGCATTTATGACTGGATATTAGAGAATCAGAACAATATATTGAATGGAAAAGAAATAAGAAAATCTGTTAAAAGAACTCGAACATTGGTTTCACTGGATTTATTACGTCGTACTGGTCCCCGAATCGAAGAAATGCTCAAACTGTAAGTACACAAGTTGTAGAGTGATTTATGTTAAAAACCTGAATAATGTAAGCATAATGGTCATAATCTGACAAAAGCACAACCCGGTTTACGGAGTTGCAGCGAACAATCCCCCGTGTGACGATAACGCGTCTAAGACATGCGTTGAGGTTTCTCTATCCAATATCACCACTTACGCTTATTTACCGTACAATTCGCTTCCTTGTTTTATTGCAGTTAAATAATCATCGTTAATTATACTTCTATCTTCTGTGGGGTGCCGTTGTGATGCAAAACATCGAAAACAAGATGTTCGCCTAGGTGTCTTTTGGTTTTAAATCTTTACCGGGTTTATTTTCTGTTTAGTTGTTTTCATTTGTTCAAAAATCGTTCGGTGCGAGTGGTTGACAAATGCATCTTCAACGGTAACCATATCAACACACTAAACTGAACCTACACATTATGCTTAATTCGATGTAAACGTAGTCAGTTTGTTTTTACGAAGCTTCTGGGTTGAGCTACGACGTAATGGCCAGTATTGTATTGCCAACATTGTGGCCGTTAAAGTTAACCACATGCTCATCTTAATTGGCATGCAGTACTATCTAGGTACTTGCGTTAAACTGCTGCTTTCCTGAACAGATTTTGTTCTTGTCGTCTAGTATATACAAAGAATATCATACAAAAATGGGAGTTGTACAAATCACGATCTGCATCATACTTGTGAAAACAAAATAATATACCATGAAAGTAACCGTCAGCCATCGGACCACTTTCATCATGCGGTTTATTGACTACAATAGTCCACGACATATCCGTCGTCCATTTATCCGAAACATTTAACCAGCTTTGGAATTTAACCAAATGTGCGAGAATTTGCAAGTGGGTACGTCAGCACATTACGCCCTTCTACTTCAAGCAGCCAACATTCTTTTGAAATATGCAGCCTAAACCTTTTTTAGCTGGGTGTTCAGAAAGATGAGCATGCACTTCCAACTTTGTACTATGATAAGATTTGTTACATAAATGGTAAAATAACTGGCGGTCAGTTTACCGTAACTACGGTAAAACTGTGATAACAAAACAATCAGTGGCAGCAAACTAGTTTTTAGGCTTAATAGCTAAGACCGCAGTTGTAAGTCAGTCATTGCTGAACTCAGTCGAGGTGGATCAGAGCATACAAGGCGTTAAGCATTCAAATATTTCGCTCAAAGCAGAACCAAGGAAAAGCATGGCAATGAAAGACGCAGCGTAGCATGTTTACAGAGCGAACCACATAAATGATAGACGGAGCAAGTAGGTAGTGCAGCTAGTCACGATACCCCACTTGTTTGTGAGGAAAAACTATTAAGTCAGCGGTGACTAGAGGCAAGGTATAATGTAACTAAAAGACCTCTGTACAAAAATGTGAACATCCTTCTAAAAGTGAAGAGTTGGGTTCTTGCCACATCTCAGCAAATGTATATGCTGAACCGCCGAAGAGTCATCAGCATCTCTCACATACCCCTTCTGTTCTTCCAGACACCATTATTTCCACAGGTGGCACGTGGTTCAGCCACTGTTCTATGGAATTTGCTATTGTTGCGCATCCATAATTTGTTTGGTGATGACAAAATTCCCCAAGCATTATCACGGGTATCACCTGTGATTATAAGAGAGCCAATAACACGATTGCTGCAACGCTGCCCAAAGGAACAACGGTTCTCCAATTTGTGGAAGCAGGGTATCATTACCATAATTTTCAATAACGTTTGCCTTTTAGAGCCCGTCCATTCTCGCCCAGCGATTCTTCTCAAAGTTATCTCAAAGGTGATGGAGGCACTAATAGCGAAGGTACTAATGGGCTATATACAAATATCTAAAATCATAGAGCTGGAGCTGTTCAGATTTAGTCATTATCCCTTTATAAACTGTCAAGCTTTTGATAGTGATGTTAACCAAACTGAAACAGCCGATAGTTGGACCGTCACCAATATCATCCATCTATAAGTTCCAAAGATCTTCGACCTCTTAGATAACTACATCCTTCTTTATAAGTTGCACACGTAAATAGTTTGGAACGCTGGATTTTTGTGGATCGGGAATTGCTTTTTCAGCAACGGTTTCATTTTATGTTCTTTGAGGTAGTGTGTGACGATTCACAAGGTTGAAGGTCAGGGTCGCACTTCTTATTTTTTCATCAACGACCACGTGAGTGCAATAGAGTCAAAGTTCCTGCTTTTGGCTTGTGCCATTAATATATTGCAGACGATCGGTTATTTGGACAACCGCAATCTGCTGCAAATAGCTAGGCCGTGCTTTTGGAAGGCCAAAAATATAATCTCTTCGTTTAACTCGGGCAAGTGCAGTACTATACATTTACGCCACACGACCAATAGCGCATATAAGCTTGCAGACCACATCTCGATGCCACCTCAAAGGAGCGCGGCCTTGATGTGTTGATGCAAGACGACTTCGGCTTTTAAGCGCAGTACTTAATATCGTTTAAATCTGCGAGGCCAAATGTTGATCTCATACGGAGAGTGTTCGGGCTGTTCTAGCCCTCCATCATCTCTTTAATTTTTAACACTCTGTTGGCTTGCACATGGTCTACACGATTCAGGCTTGACAAACCTGGGTTAAAACTCGATTGAGTTGAACTGGAGACCGCATAGCCAAGTGCATGAAAAAGCTCAAAATTATTAGTCTATCTACTGTACCACATGAGACGGAAAGCCCCGGGATTGTACTGCAGAATTTATCGCCTACTATGTGTCGACCTCATTAAGAGGTACCATGTTTTGAAATACTCCAGTTACTCAAGTCGCTCCCTCATGAATCAGCCGCAACACACAATTGCGTGGTCAACAGCTAACACCGACCACCAAAATAAAGTCATTTGGAAGTTCACCCTAAATATTTTCTAATCGAAATCATCCATCCGTAAAGGTTCTTTGGACTTTTGTATTTCCTGTGCTCCTTTTTTGTAAAGTGGTTATATTATGTACTAGACAAGTCGTATTACTTGGTTTGCACTCTGATTACTGAGTGACGACAAGTAGCAGACAGACATTGTTCTTGCTATCCTTCACGAAATCTTAGTAGACAGATGTACCTCTGTGGTAACATGGATAACATGGTGAGTTCAAGGCTGCACGTTTCACATTCATGGCACCATTTGAACTTATATATTTCACACAAACCATGCTCAGGGACTATGATACCATGGAAATGTTCTTATTCTTTATTAATGTTCACTTGTAGGTAGGTAGACAGTGTAAGTTGAAATAGCGCGCGCAGTCATTCAGAGTCATTCTTCGAACTAGAGAAATTCTGATCCCTGTTTCCACCATACTACACATTTCCATAGCACAGACGAATAACTCTTTGTAAAATGGATGAGCTTTACAAATGAACTACTTGTCCATATTGCTGCCATAGCGTCTAGTGATTCCTAGCTCGCTGTATACTTTGGTTGCTCTTGCTTGAGGCTTCCTCACGGAAGAGGTGAATCTGGCGTCTGCCAAATTATTTGGATGTATTGATTGTAATATTTTTCATTGTTTCTCCTAGGTATGCATTATTCTTTTGACCAGCTACATGTCTACAGAACATGTGTAGGATAAAAAATCAGTGCGGTTATTTGTGCACAAAAATCAAACGTTCATTTCCTTAATTACTTGGATTAGTCTGAAGGAGACAGGTGTAGGACTGCAGTTTAATTAAATATTTCGCTTTTGTTAGTTATTAAAGGGTACAGTGAGGTCAACCTCCATTAGGCCTTAAAGTTTGGTGATCTCGATGGTCCAAAATTATATCGCTCATAGCACATCATCTGGAGATGAACAAGATGGTAAAAAACTAATTTTATTATGTGCGAAGTTCTTGCAAAACGCGTTAAGTAATGACTAAATTTATTCGCTCCGGCGTGTTTGTTTAATCCACAGCTTTGAACGTTACTACCATCAGTGACTGAAGTAAAACCATATTAGTGGTGGTGATGCATAACTTCTAATAAAATGACACATTAGTTAATATCTTGACCGTATTTTTGTAGGGTGTATGCGTTAAAATGTTTATATTTTAGTTGTATTTTATGAATTGCACACACTTATATTCATATTGTTTGGAAACAATTAATTAAACACTTTTATTCGGTCAGTTCTCTGATGATAAGTCCAAGAATTAGCGACGAACCAACAGAAAACCGATGGTGATAGTTACCAAGTTAAATCTTTGACAGAGTAACTCGCATAATGAATTGTAAAATATGGGGGCTTGTATATAGGCTGGAATTTAATTAACTAACTGACTGTGCATGTATAATTAACTATGGTATGCAAGTAAAAATGACTTACCTTTTCTAAGACACAGGTGGGAAGGCAACATTCCTCTACTGCATCTGGCTGCTCTGTAGCTGCTGCTAATAAATATTACATACCCTGTTTACATTTATGCTAGTTCGCTTTACTCATTAGCTAATGCAAATCATGACAGTCAACTGAAGAATCATTTTGAGTAAGGCGAGAGCAGGTGTTATTAAAAGTAGGACCCTTATTACTAGTGTTTGCTGACAAGATGCATGCGCCTGAATAAAATTAAGCTCCCTCGTATCAACCACCAAGCAACTGTCTCTTTATTGTTGGATGTGTGGGTGGCAATTGCAATAAAATTGTATAACTGGGTTGTTTGCTTTTCATCGGAAGACATGTGTAATGTTGAACCTTTTACTATGCGTATTTTCTAGTTGTCGAAGTGACAGATATATTTATGGCGCTGGAAACTTTTCTACAATCTTGACTCATTACGGAATATGTTACTTTGTGGAAGTGGAAGCTGATGGTGAGTGCCTTAAATTTACGGAAAAGTCTATACTTGTACATAGTTTACTTGAATAGACTATGGGTTTTAAAATTGTGCACTGTTGTAGTGACCTGGTATCCGCAAGCATACTCAGTGGAATTTTAATTTTATGAGAGGTTAATAAAGCAATGTTATGGTAGTCCAATGTGATAGCCTAAGTTCATTTAATATAACATTTATATCCATGTAACTACCAGTTATAATTGCAGTAATGTGTTTCGGACTGAATGTGATATAAATAAAGAAAATGATTGTATGTTTTCGAAAATGCGTGACAACGACCAAATACTTTCTCTCCTTATTTTTTACAATATATTTGAATTGCAGAGAAATTTGTTTGAATTTTACCATATGGTTGACGAGTTAGCTTTGTAGTGATCAATTCTTTAAAACTAATAACTTCGCGGTTATTATAGCATGGGATTCCATACTGGCAAAGCAAGCACCTCAGGTATGTAATACGACCTAAGGACTTGTTTCTATACCCACTAAACCTATAACAGCTTATTTTCAATGAAAATTATCCCTGATGTTTATCTATTATAAGCAAAAGATGTAGGGGGAGGAAAGTAGTTTAAAAACTGACTGAATTTGTATGGTGCCAATGTTTCCCTATTTTGCCATTACACATAAAACGTCGCTTAATCCAGTGCTCAGTACATTCAAAACTAACTTTAATTTTGGAAGGAATTGCTTAGCTAATTGTCTTATTTGCTAAACCTTATGAACGCCCACCATATGACTAAGACAATTTGAAATATGATTTATTTAATAGTCGAGCATATATCACTTCTTATCCTTTGGACGTAATGACATAATTATATTTGTCATGTGCAATATTGTGGTCCCAGAATGCGACCTGACAAGCATTTTGCAAGGCTTTCAAGCAATATTAGCGGCATGTAAATATTGTATGCTCTTATATACCAAAGCAACATAACTAGTTAGATAAACATATGGACCTTCAAAAATGTTAACCTAGTCATGTGAATTACAACTGAGAATGCGAAACATTGTTGCAACACTGTTATTGAATGAAATATGTTGTACAATAATAATAAAATTTGATAATCTAATAGACGAATTTTGAACGCTAATTATTTTGTGAACAAAAGCGCTGTTACCTTTCCAATATGAGTGTTGTGTATCTTGCTAACACATTTGAACAGCAAGGTCTTCATTTTGTACAATGCAATAATATATTGAACAGGTACAAATAATTTAAAAATGTGCACTGAAATTATAAAACTGGGAATTCCTGCCACAGGTTTGAATACTGTAATCCTGATAACGACGAATTTTGTCCTCTTTTAAATGTTGTTTTTTTAGTCCGTAATATACATTGCGTCTTGGATCCGCAAGAGTATGACTATTTGATCAACGGATACAACGCAGTGGGATTTCGAATATGGCTGCATTTTACCAAGAAACAGGCGATAACCGATTTGAAAATAGACGATCACTCTACGTACGTTGATCTCCATGCCGCGGATGCTCAAATAGAGGGCATTCGACCAAACGAAGTGATTGTCGGCTCAGATTATGACACGGTGATCCGTGTAGTTGGGAACTTGAGGGTAATTGATTGTGTGCAATTTATTTTTATTGGTCTGGCGTTGCTTGGCCTCAAATATACCATGGACCTAGTTCGTAGCTTAGTTACACCGGCATGCAAAGATCCTAGGCGTATTAACATCTCTTAGTAAGAATGATTTTAGTTTAGTCGACTAGATCTTCGTCAGAACTGAATGGCTCGCTAGTGGGTATTTGAAGGTTATAATATGTTATGTCATCTATTTATATTCTTATCAAATTTTAGCAAGTCGGTCGCATAAGCAGTAAGATAGCGGTACTTTTCCAGCTTAGACAGCATGAGTAGGTGACGTCTGTAAGCAAACACTAACATTATATTTGTTACTGTGTAAAGCGTATTAGTTTCCTGGAAATCTGAGATTTTCAATCGATTCCAGGCATAACGCACGGCTATTTGTACAGCAGAATTGGTGAATACAATTATATTTTAGTGCTGTAATCATGCAAATTTATAATACTTATTGATAATAGGCCGTACCGATTATCTTAGCGCACCATGGCCTTGCATCCGCATCTGCTGTGTCCAACAGATTCATTAGGACCGATACCTAATTTTATTTTAAATTGCCCGTTTAGATAATTGCGTAAATCCTTTAAATTGCAAATGACATGGCAGTGCTGAGTACATTTATGATGCTTTTGCTGTTATTTCGGTTCAATATTTGGCTTTCATGCTTAAAAGACCACATATAAATGTGCAAAACACCTAGTAGACAGAGCCGTACGTGAATGGATAAAGACGGAAAAACACCCATTACGACTTGCCAGTTTGTGCACTAAATGTCTCTGCTTTCTAATTAAACTGATAATGATGATAGACGTTGACAGTAACAGAGGCCGCCAGTTTACTGGCATTGTAATAGCGAAATATGGCATTAAGTAGCATGTAGCAAATGCATATTTGGACATATTTTGAGACTGATATCTTATACTGCTATTTCAGTTTGATTCAAAAACTCTTATTTCAGACTTTTGTTTGCTCAATCTAATAAAGTGGTGCAGGATAACATTGACATTGTTTGTTTTAATGGTTTAATAGAATGGTAAAAGTCTATTTCCTATTGAGAGTCAAGTTCTAAAATTCCATTACAATTAGAGGGTGTAGAGCACGTTCAGACTAATTTTACAAACATAAGTTAAATAATAACTACATGTTGCTATCTACTTTATGAAGTACGATAAATTCACTGTGGCATCGACTGAACGGTATTATATACTATTAAACTTTTCAAATTGGCTATATTCAGGTACATCCAATGTATTAGTCAAATAGTGCTATAAAATATTAATTAGAAGTGGGATGGAAAATCATGATTTTCAAGGTAAAAACAAACTGCTGACCACAGATTATAGATTTGAGGACGATGAAACAGAAGTCTTGAATAGCGAGGCACGAACCAAAGTATTGGGTCTCTATAAGAAACAGCGTCAACTCAGTGGAGAATCGCGTGTGTACATACATGTGTATCACCAATCACAAAGCTAAGAAATGCACAAGCTTTGCTGCACGTGTGGCGGCGAAATGAATAATAACTAATGAGAACTGGAATAATTCGAACCCATTATCAGACTGTTGAAATGTCGTCAGTCAGTTAACGCACATTATCCTCATCATTTACTAGAAGTTTGAATTCTATTTATTGAGTAGCAATGTAGATACAAATGGTCGTGTTATACAAAGATACAGTACTTTTATTAATCCGGCTGTTTTTTACAGACATTAAGCGATTACGAATGATAGGTACATCGAAACCAATACTAAACCGGTGCAACCAAATGTGTTGTTGTGTTGTATCAAAAGTGGGTATCAGTTTTATTATCTATTCTTTTATTTAACAGCTAGTTACAGTCTGATTATATACAGTGGCTAAGAGTGTTTCGTATTTAACTTGAATGCACCTTTTATCTTTCTGCGTTTTATGAGTGCCTATGTAGTATCACGAAAATATGCACACACCGCTTCCACTGTGTAGAAAATGATTAAATGCTTTTTATAGGTTTGTGGTTAAGTAGTTATTAACTTGTACCACACGTGATTCAATACAGAATATTTTATAATTATGCGAAATTGAATTTGTAACATAAAATATTCAGGGGAAACATATTAGTCGTTTATCGCAATGGCCGTTTGGTTTCACTTCGTTAAACGGTGCTGAAGAACTTAACCGCAAATTTTAATGAAATTTGTAGAATTGGTTCACAACAGCTGTGTTTAATTCAAACAAACATTTGTTGTTACACTTGAGCTAAACTGTACTACACTATATCTTTTTTCTTTCATTAAACTCATCAGGTAGGTATAGCAAAAGCCGCATCTAATATTATTCGAGACTTAGCATAATAGTTAGCTGTATAGGTGAATTTTGTTTGCCACACCAAGTAAATTTCGACAGTAACTGGTAATTGCCCTTCATTTATGAATAAACGTATTATTGTAGATAAAATTTAAGTTTAGTAATGCTTCTAAGGAGCGTGAATTTTAGTTATTCCGATTTATTTTCTAATGCTTGTGTCAAGGTTCAACATATCAAAATTTCGATAAAGGTCCAAATTAAAATATTCACCATTCCAACAATGCGTTATCTGATTAAATGGTGGTAAATTTGTGGCAACTTTTACTAAAAAGGGGCATTTATTGACATTTTATCAGCAGTTAGCCTGTTATAAAATTGACTATAATATTTTTGCCTTTATAATTAAGCCGTTATCGAATGTTAAGAAATGGTAAGGTATGCTAATTTTACCGTTGGAATAACATACCGTGAGTGAAATATCATACACAAATTTATCGCTTGCGAATTCGCAATGGGATGTTCCCAGGTCATAGAAAAACCACGAAATTTTTACCGTGAACGTTAGAAGGTAAGGAGATTTATTGCTTGGTTATGGTGTCGCTCATTTGGACAGATTAAGTGCGGAAATTTCCACAACATTACAGGCGAAGACATGCGTTCACGAGTGGTAGCACTTATGTTAAAACAGCTGATGGAGATTGAACATACATATACTCTGAGTCTAGTCAATGCAGTTATTGAATTAGTTCTGATAATCGCTACTCCATGAAAAGGAAGTTTGTCATTTGCTGAGTTATTGCGTCCTTTGTTTGAAGGTCTGCCAAATTGCCATAAGTATACTTCGCTTAGCTTCTCTGAAATAAACTAGTTGTGCAAGCCTGGTCCTCTATTAACATTAAATTTAGGGTCTAGGCAAAATACAAGTCACTGACGTCATCGTCCAAAGTCTTCGACAAGTAGCAGTTTGAATATGGTTGGTCAACTGTATAAGTCAGACAAAAAGTGCCCAGTTTCGTTACCTTACTAATTTCATAAATGCATACAAGAAGTGTACGATGTTAGTTGCAATTTACCGTACTTATATATATATTGTATACATATAATTTTGAATGTAAATGTTTACCATGTTGAGTTATCCAAACTTAGGAGTAAGCATAGCTGGTTTATATTTCCACTTAGTCGTCGTTCAAACGTGTGCCACTATGATTCATTGTTTGTTTAAGTGGGTATGTTTTGCAGCATAGAAATTAGAGAAATTACGAGGCCTTTTACGGAGCTTAGTTTCTAATTGGATAGAGTACATTTCTTAAAAATCGATGTTAATTTTCTGTTTTACACGTTGCTCAGAGGATGTGCGGAGGTTTAAGCGGCGCATTCCTATAAAATGCATTGTAAATGCAGGTTGCCTATCGCATGTACTACACACATTCGTTGCTAAGCATTTGTTTGACCGGTTATATTGAGTTCGCGTACTTGAGCTTGCAACGCGCTAAGTTAGCAGCTAATGTTTGACCCTGACTTGTTAGAAATAGGTATCTGCATTTACTATCCACTGGTAAAGCTACAAATATGTTATATTTGCTGACTACATTGTTCGTATCTATTTGATTTTTCCAGGCTCGTGAAAAATGTCAAGCAATCACTTACCCATCGTGTAGCCTTTCATGTTTGGGTACTGAGAATGATGTCACTGAGCAGGATAACGTGTGTGAGTCAGTAAGCTTTTGTTTACGCTTTTATGTGTTTTACTCGCTTAAGTTGGTTCCCAATTACAGTAAAATGATATATTTGGGCCGGGCGGTATTTTGCTCAGATGGAGCTAGCTTTGGTAAGTAAAATGTACACACCTATCGCAACTCTGATTGCATCAATCTGCAAGCAGGTTAAACAAACCCAGTCCTTAGCAAACAAATAAGTCGTAGATCTGTACAACACAGAATTTTCCCGGGACAGCTTGGTAGCAAATTTAAAAATAAGTTTCGGAGTTCCTACACTTCAAGACAATAAAAATAAAAACAATTTTTGCTAGTTGCAATGGGCAAGCAAGAGCATTCTCATCATGTCATTTTTAAACTAACGCTCCAATGTCCAAATGGAGAGGTTATAGTGTTTGTTCAGACGCCAGGAAATAGAGGTAATCAAGAATTTACTCAGCAGATGCGCGATGTACTAATGCCAGTATGTGGAAAATCATTGCTTGCAACACAGGAAGCATAAGTGCTTATAAAATACTTAGTGTTAATAAATGCAAGTAAATAGGACTATTCAAATAAGGTTGGAATACAGGTAATATAATAGTTTCAGAAAGATGGAACAGTAACATAAAGCCAAGCAGAAAAGGAATTGCCAGGTTTTTGAACAAGCGAAATTCCGCAACCAATTTACTCCATATTGTCTGCAAGGTTAATATATATTGGTTAGGAGTGAAATTTATTTGTGATACCGAATACTGTGCCAGTTCTGTCAAGCAAAACGTTTTAATAATTCAAACAATCATTTAACAGCTTGTGTTTTCGTAAGTGCCAAAGATTTAAACAAAACCTTTTATTGATTTATAGGCTTACATATATTTTTGGAAAGACTACAAAATTACACTGACGTTATGGTGACGAGGTTATATTTTCATGTTAGACTACGGCTATGCAACTAATAAAATAAGCATAATTTATGTCTGGCGGGAGGACATGGAGGTGAATTCCATAGGAGACGTTTAGTTGTCCCTATTGGTAACAAAGCTATTAAATAGTAAGCGAATGGGGAATTTCCTTCTTGTATCTTAGGAATGTAACTTCCTGGTTTAGACACCCTGCATGGTCAGTATTAAGCAAAATTTTTATATGATTGCAGCAGCAGATCAATTTCCTTTTTGACACAGTTTGTCGTGTTGCGCTCTCTCTCGCTTCGCATAATCACCTGGTTATTGTTTTGTTAATTTACACACAAAAAGTTTGCGGTGCGAATAACATGGCTAGATATACATCCGAAAGTAAAGCTCTAAATCCAGTGGAGCTTCCATCTTATAGGCGTCCATACTTTAATTTAACCCATATGCAAGGTTATTATCGAAATGTGAAAAGATGGTTCTATTAAATAACAGGCCATAATCTGTGAAGCCATTTGACGCTTTAGTCTACTTAACAATACGTGCTCACCACTTAAGTGCAGTTACATAAGGAGTAGCTTGGTTATGTAACCAGTATAAATTGGATGCTATTTATTTCCTTAGGCACGGAAACGCATTTTATTCTCTGATAACAGTTTGTCATGAATAGGAAGCGCATATGTATTAAACCACGCATCTTATCAATAAATGTTCCTACTGTTAGAGTAAACAGCTACAGATACAAATACGGATTTGTCCATGGTATTCCTTATGAGACTGAATGGCAATCATGTAGATAGTGTCACATGCTTCATTCACCTGCATTAATTGTGGTCATAAATCACTATTTCCATCTTTCTTATGGAACTTATCCCTCTTACTGCTAAGCATTAATCAGGATTTCCGGTCTTCCATAATATCTGTTGTGTTTCCCAACTTAGTAAGTTAGCGTGGGTACTTGCATTTTTAGTATTCCGCTGGTCGTTGGTAGAAAGCTTGAATCAAGGATAGGGTTTGACATTGGATGACTATAAGTTTACATCAAATATTGCACTTTTGATATTAAAAAGAATATTTCTGACTTTGCCATGACACAAAGAAAATAAGCGGTGTTAAAGCGTCCACATTTCAATAACACTTCCTTTTAGTATTTAGAAAATGTTCAAGCAAACTGCTGTTATATATATCTTTTTGGTGTTTTAATGCGTTTTTTTCATAAGTTAAAATAGCATAAACGCCAATAATTAGTATTACAATGAGTTTTATATTTTGAGCTAATGTCTGATTACTATAGCCTTATATATCCACATGTGTCTAAACCTTAGACATTGATAAGACGTTGTTGGAATAAATATGCTATGTTTCGGAGTAAAGTTTACGTAATTGCAATAAAAATACTCGGCTACTCTTTTCCGTCATATGTGTATGTATTGAAAATCTATTCACTCTTATGTACTAAGGGAGTTGTAGTGACCTCATATGATTCCATTGTTTCCATTACCATTTAGATAAAAACCAAGGAACCTTCAAATGGCAGCCAGAGAATTTGCATTCAGGGAAAAATCCAAATTTACCTGAGACTTCTTGCTTGCCATATGTGCTCTCCGCGTTACAATTTCCAAAATCTTCCGTATATCAGAAACTGTTGGCATTGAAATATCCAACGATGTTTCAGAGAAATGCACTGACGGTGTCGATGGGTTTACGCATCCAACAACGCGCTTACCTACGACTGGCCAACGCCACTGCATTTGAAGAGCTGCGCGCATTAGTGGACGCGTTTGGTGATTTGCAAAAAGGACTAGAGAACATTTCAACACAAGTCTATACGATTCGCCGACGCCTATGGAGCGATGAAGTGAAATTTTCTCAGGTACTTGCTCAATACGTAAACATATGCGTTATGGAAAATATCGGGTAAGAAAGCCGGATGAGAAAACTCCCTAATAATTCGTTGCTAAACAAACTCTGAATATATATTTACTATAATACTAATGCTCGGAAACCAACTAGCTTTTGACGAAATTGTGTACGGAATTTGCTAACTTAGACCACCATTGATTGTAAGCTAGCTGCTTAAGTTATGTTGAATTTATTGACGTAACTTACTGGTTAAGATTTTTGTACATTGTGGTTGTCTACCGTTTTCACCGTAAGCTTCCGCAAAATTGCTCTCATACCATATAGAGAGCCGTGAGTATTGTGCATCCGAAAGGTATCCTTTTGCCTACGATGTATGCAGTTTCCTTTCAACGAAACACTGTAGAGCTTGAACACTGTAGCTAGACTGATTTTAAGTTGGTGGATGACGAAAACATATTTTGTCGCCTTTACATAATTGAAAGCATGTGTTGTTTTTTATAGACAAAACAAACAATAAGCAGAAGGCGGTAAAACGAAAAAAACCTCCAACCACTACTGTGCCTACGGCTCGATAAGACCTTGTTCTTTCTCTTATTCTCTTGGTTTAATTTGGCAGCTGCAACTTTTTCTGTTACTTTTCTTACAGCTGAGAAACTACTGATTTACTCTGATGCGACAACGAATTGGTCATGTATTAGCTAACTGCTGTTTGCCGCTTCCATCCATTTGTTTGGGGGACGACAGATTCAACATCCCAGCCTAAGAAACCTTAGTTGCATATTTGCAAAGTTTATTTAAACGATATTAGCGATTTCCTATTTTTAGTTAATTTGGCACTAAAATTTTTTACACCAAGTACTAATAAATTATTGTTACCCATTTTACGTAAAAGTGTCTCGCTCTAAAAGGTAGTCTGCAATGATTTTTATGTTTGAATTTGTGTTAAAGCAAAAAGTATACTTTGGGCTTTGCGCTAGACCAGTGTATGTTTGTTCGTTCCATCTACTGTATACGATTACAAATACCAACTCAAAGGTTTTTGGGTTATGGGATGTGACTTATACTCTTAAATGCATGCACAATAGTGACTGTTGTAAGGGATATACACTATACATTTTTTCGAGGAAATAACATTTGTGTCAACACTATATGTTGACAGTAATTAACAGAAACACTGCATAACCGCCGCTACATTTTTACCCACGGTTGCACAAGATGCGTTATTGGTTTCGCATGATAGAAAGTATCAAATGTTGCTCTCAAATTTTCCTGAAATAAATCCCTATATCAGGTACTCAAATATCAATGTATACATTTACTGAATAAAATAAGTAGATTAAATAAGTTTTAACTGGTTTTTGTTGCAGCTTATTCGAGTAAAACTGGGTTGTTTTCACAGTACCACGGTTTATCCCAATATAGTAAAAAGGTAACATTTTTCAGGTATACTGTAAATAAGCTATTATTTCCGATGTTTATACACTTGTACATAAATTAAACTGCGTCAAACCTTTTCATCATTTCTCTCTCACCATTTTAGCGGCGAGAAACTGGTGAAAAGAGCTGCGTCTCAGATGTCCCACAGCACCTCAGAACCTTGTTGAATATTACAGAGAGCTTCAACGAAGAAATTTGCAATCTACTATTTTCCGATGCTTTCTTTGGTAGTTACGCTTTAAGCTGTGTAGATAAACCTTGGCCAGCAGATTATTCCACGAACTCCTTCACCAAGCATCAAACTAATACGACTACTGACTACGTTCTTGATTCGAGTTTGGACTATCTGATTAAAGAAGACATGGATCGCCGTAGCCGATTAGAGCTGCAAATACTTGATATGTTTTTCAAGAATATCTCTCCTCAACCTGTTTTAAAAGAACTATTGCGACGTCACTTACGCAGCCTTTCCGCAATACGTATGCAGCTTCGGCCAGGAAAAGTTGCAGGGCACTCTAGCATTGCCCCTCTAGACATCGAACATCCGGGAGGAATCGAAATGATTTCTACCACTTCCCCAACAACATTATGTACTAATGAACTACCAGAGAGTATGCGATATGCATATGACAATGAACTGCTTGAATTGGGAGAGAGCGTAGCTTCTACCTTACAAAGGCTTGATTGGTTTTTCAACCATATGCAAGAAATTGTCAAGGTGAATCAAGCCATAATTAGAACCTTGCAGCTTTCGAACGCAAATCTCTCGCAAGTTCCACACCCAAGGTGAGCAAATAAGACTTGTTTAGTCCTTTGTTTCATTATGCATTTAATGTAAGGTGCTAATTAAATTTCTGGTTAATTTTAATGTAGTTATGCTGTATAAGGGCAAATGGTTTGGTAACTGCTTTTCTATAATGCGACATGTATAAGTTATGTAGTAAAAGACATTTAATTCGGTTTGCCTTGTGGAATTTTTACAGTTTATATTGAATTATACGTTTTTGTTAGTTTGACGCTAAATGTGACACAATACAGAAAATTAATTTAGAACTTTGGAAGCTAGTTCTTAACTTTAATACTATATCCAGTGGCGCCGTCCGATTATTTTACTATCCTTATAGTAAATAATTTGGTTACATTGACATCAATCATGGTTCTGCTTAAAATCATTACTGGTCATAAGGTTTTCGAAATAATATTAAGGATTTAAAAAGCTGCAATTGTTTATCAAGCGATGGTATTTCTCGCAATAGGGCGAAGGGGCTTGGTGTAATTTCCCAAGTCTGACCATGTGAAATTGCCATCGAAATGCTCTCTAGAGACTTTGTGTGAAGAAGCAGTGACAAGTAGGTCGTGCTGTCAAATTTAATGCAACCAATCATCAAGCGATTAATGGCGAGCGTGATTCTAAAACATTTCACACGTTATTGACAATTCGGTACGCGCATAATTTAGAGTCAACCCATTTGATACCTGTCGCCAGATTACTAAATAATTAGATAGGGTCTGGAAAGCAGTTGGCAAAACACCGCTCTCGAAAAAGTTTCTAGCCATGCCAATTGCACTGTTCGTATAACCGTTGTAAAATACCACTAAATTGCCAAGACAGTGGGAGAAACTTTGGTGTATGTAGGCCGTAATGCTGAGCAAATTTTTAATAAACATTGATCTAGAAAAAATAGATAAATAAATTTCTTTAACGAAGATTGTATTATGCAAACCAATTTAAATCTGCCCCAGGTATATACAATTATTTTATCCAGTACATATAATACCGGTACAAATAATATGCATATAAACTACAAGGCAAGGGAACTGGACATCACATAATAAATAATACAATATTTCACAGCTAATTTCTTCACTGAATTGGCTAGTTTAGACGTAACACATAAAACGAATTTTTTTCTGCCCAGCCTTGTATCCTTCAAAGTGCAAGTCGAAAGAGATGCCAGCATGATGGTCGCCCACAGCCTCTCTTCATTAGACAACTTGCTCAGTTCATTTAGTAAGTTTTTGAATAACTACAGACAATGATTTTTGTCTTCGGTGAACCTTGGCAGAAAATCGACATAATAGTTGATCAACCTGAAGATACAGTTGGTTGCGGCATAGCCGTATCACTGTGATACTGAACACGCTTAGAATGGTTATACGATGCATACTCTTTGTGAGAAAGAACTGGGATTTTTTTCCATTTCTAAGCATATGATGTAGGATGACGTCAAGTAATATATTTGACACATGTACCGCGTTTTGTCATTAGTACTTACGATAAAGTAATTGGTGACTGTATATGTGCGCTACTGTGTTTTGATATGTTAACTACTAACGTAAACTTTAATAATGCACCATTTTGAAACTGAGTACGGCTGAACCTCAAAGCATCAGACGTGGTCTAAGTAAAACCGATGACGCTCAGGTAAGCAATGCATACTGTGCAATTCTCTTTTAAGTCCCACAACGGAAACAGCATATAGGCAAATAAAGCTTTTTCTAAATTTTAGTAACAGCCAAGTCCATTAGTGGAATGCGCTTATGGACAATACCGTTGCAATTTTAATAAGTATGACTGACGCAAACCCACGGTTCTCCTATCCATAAGTTTTGTGTTTATGATCAAAATCAAGTGCATGTTGAAGAAATGTAAGACTAATGTGTAAACTGCATATTGCATTGATGAAGCAAAAATGTTGAGGATATGCCGACAGCAGTTACAATGACGCAAGACGAAAATAGCTCGAACCTTCTCATGTAAATATCATTTTGGCGTGTCGTTTAATCATAACAAAATTAGTGACCCCCTGCTAAGTGAAAGCACACGCTGCTTTTTAGTGACAGCATATGGCAAACTTTGCGCCGATGGCGTTAGTGTAGAATGAGATGCACAATTCTACAACCCATGCAATCGCATCAGCTTGGGAAACTTATAAGACCCCGAAGTAGTCATTTAGGAGGCAGAGCGGTGTTACACTGTAACGATACATAAAGTAGCCTACCCAAATAATGAACCTCAGTATAATAAAAATACGTCAACGCCAATAAAGGCAAAACATCAGCTAATATGCAATACGAAATGTCAGAGCAGTGTTTCCTAGTTCGTGGTAGAGACGTCCGCTCGACTTGAAACCCAAAACACATAGGTAGCAAACGAATGCAACGTCACTAAAAGTTGGTTAGCAAGTGCTCATAAATCATGTGGGTAATGATGCCAATTCTGATGGCAGCCATATGCACAACTGGAGGGAACCAATATTCAACCCACGACACGCGTTCACCACTAGACAGGTTGCAATCGTTCAAGTGAACTTGAACATTGCACCACACCTACTAATGTTATCGTAGAACAGTCGTTCGAAAGTAATTAATAAAAAACTGCCGAATACTAGTAATTAATAAACGCCGAAAAATGAACTGATTTTAGAACATTCAATGAGGATGAAAGCGTGAGAACACATGAAAACGACCAAATGTTATGGTGTAGTATAAAAAAGAGTCTTATCAACGACACGCTACAAAGAATAGTTCTTTAATGAACAACTATCTATAAGGGTATTCCATAGCGTACTGCCTTTTCCTAATTGAAAATATAATGAAACATAGCAAGCGAAATGACAAATTAGTCAGTACCGTTTTATGCTTCGCCTACGAACCGTTACTAATTCCAGACTAATGTATCAGTGCTGCCTCGTCAGCAATTGCTAAGTCTAAACTTGATTACATTTTTAACACAATTTTAATCAGACTGTTCATTTTTGTGTGTGATCCTTCAACAGTAAAAAGCAATTGCAAAACGAATATAATCATTGGGGCTGGATCCGGAAAATATGTCGTACTGCAACCGTACTAAGCCTAGACTAAGTAATCGCGTGATCTGAGCAAAGAAAATGAAACGAATTTTTCTCTTACTGCCTTTATAAAACAAACGAAAATGACTAATGGAGTTACGAATATGTTTACAATCGTAATGATAAAACTTGGAAATGTAAGACGTGGAGTGGCCTGCGCAAACTGTACAGTTTAGCATTATGCTGTTTGGGGTTTTAAGGATATGTTGATGTTGCGAAGTGAATAGGTAAAGTATTTTATAAACAACTCGTCAAGGAAAGCCTGTGGAAATTTGCTTAAATAATTACGTGTAGTGATTGGGAATAGAGATATTTAGTCCACAATTGGGCAAGCAATTTAGTAAATAAGCAAAGTTTTCTTTAGAATTTCAAGGTGGATGCGGAATAACCGCCAAATCTAAATGATAAGATGCGGCTTTTACCAAGTTTGACACAAGGTGCCTAGTGTCGTTATGGGGCAGCATGACGTGTCCTAGTTTTCTGGTATTTATTTGGATAGCCCTGATCAAGGGAGCATCTTTTCTATGCAGATCTTCCTGTCAACAGTTTGCTTTTCGCAGGGTTTTGCCAGCGAAACTTATCCAATTATTTTACCAAACACATTGCGTGATTACTTTGGGACGAGCAGCTTCCTCAGCTTTCAGCTTGGCGTGTAGTTTGAAGCTACCTATTCCTCACTTTATTTCACGTTGAAATGAAAATAACTATTTTTAATTTCATGAGATAACATTTTGCAGAAAATTGTTTCGTGAGGTTGTATCATGCTCGGTGTCGGGTGAGAAATTAAGCAGTATACTACAGGGGATTATCCAAATTGTATTTGACTACTTCGTGTGGCACACAGGCTCATCGTTTTAAGTAAAATTAATTGTTGGTAAAATTTGGGGTACCTCAATGAATTGTTGTTCAATTTCACGATGTATTTTCCGCATGTCTGGCTACCGTCTTTCGTTAAAAAACAAACATACGTTTTGCCCCGTAGTTGATAGATCCTTCAGATCAAGCTGTGTTGTCCGTATGCTGGTTACTGTTTTGAATTTGCCAAACAAACCTTAGTTCTCGCAGCCATAACATTCACTACATAAAATTTACAAATATCCAGAACTCTTTCCGTTACTTGTTTATTACAGTGAAAGGCGATTAAATCAAGTAAATAAACTTGGCCTATTGTTGCCTGAAAGTTTAAATTAAAATACTGACATATTAACTAAAAATCAATTATTGGAACACTGGTAGAGTAGTTTGTGAACGGAATAAAGCCCTTTCTAATTAAAAAGCGATTTGTGCGGAACTTTGAAAATATAGCGTGAAAAGCAAAGAAAATATTGAAAAGAGTGTATACAACCGTTATATGTATATGTACGACATAAGCATACGATATCCGCACACATCATGGTCACGATATTTTGTTATAGCAGTTCCGTAATATGAATTTATTAATTTGCATTTAAAGTTTGTCAAAGAACGCGTCTGTTTCACAGGATTTTAACGAGGTTCAAAGTTTTCTAATAATTAGGTTTAATGTCTTACAATTCGTGAAAATTGTTATGTGGTGCCATTATGTAACTTAAATTTTCTTACTCAGCAACACTTAATTTTCTTTTCCCAGGAGTTTTCATGAAATTTTAACGTGTTGCTTGTACTTACTGACCGTATATTTGGTCATCGACCTGGCACTGCGGCCTACCTTAGAGACCCACAACATAAATCCAGTATTTAAACCCGAAGAAAGAATCCGGTAGGTGGATGAAAGTCACCTTTCCTCTACCGACGCAGCCCACACGACCACAACATGTCCATCTGTAGCAATCTTGTCGGTCTAATTGCGGAAACATGCCTTCCGGACTTAAAACGCATGGAGGCTGGGCCGTATCCATTTCCACACTGTGTAGCACCACTATGTTCACTTCTTCTACCTAAGCAAGTACTAACGTTCTGCTGGAGTGAACACAATCAAATTGGCGCATTGTCGGCACGTAGTCATCTCGTTATCATCCACATCAAGCTTAGTCATACCGATGGTATTAATCAATAAACAAACAACTAAATGTTGGAACTAAAAACGAAGTCACGCACACCTACAGCCAAATGTAGCGCATGTAGAGCACGCGGCATCCTGACCGCATTACTATCCTGGGTTAGTAAATTGAATCTAAAGCAGCTTACTTACAGAGGATGCGAGGATGCGTACCTATTAAAGTGACTCCTGTATGATCCTAGCAAATTGTGACCACGCAATACTTACCTAGATCCGGTTGTCTGAGGCCATAGCTACTACATGTATTATAGCCCCATGCACACAAACTCCATGTGCTAGACCCCATCGCCGCTCGCTGCTTCCTTTCCTGATGAAGCAGCATTTTCACGTGCACTTGCTTAACCTTATTCTTGAGGTGGGCACGCCGTTTGTTGCGAGTCCCTGACTTGGCCTCTCAACTAATTAAATCAAAATAAGTTCGTGATAAACGTAGGTTGATTACGTCCTGTTAGTGCTGCTTTGGTATGCCCCCGTTCTGCTTTCCATCCCGCCGTTGGCCACAGATAAAATGCATCGGTTTCCTTGTCTAATCCATACCCCCGGGACATTTTACATACAGCTCAGGTGCCGCAGCAGCGGTATGCAGTTCCATGCATAAATTCCAATTGGTCGCATCTCTTCCGTGCATGCAATCTTGTCGCTCAAATTGGTTCGCAGACTGCCACACAGGCATCGTTAATGAAATCAATATAAAGTGCGGAGGTCCGCCCGGTACAGAGTCCAAGTTTTGCAACCGTTGAGGAGAACCGAAATAATTATCGGATGTTGTACTGAGAGCCTTGGCCCAGCCGGCGGCTGTTGATGCTTCTACACCTGATATTCCAGTTTACAAAATGCACCAGCCACCTTTGCTACGCGGATGCGAAATACGCTCGTGTTCTGCAGATTAGTAGAATGTATTTGCAGAGGTAGAAAATGGTGTGGTCTTATAAACTTCATCAGTAATCTGGATATATGTCAGACAAGAAGTTCCATCCCTGTTAACGGAAACAAATGCCAGTCTTATTTGTGTTGATGGTGAGTACAAACGCAGTTGCAGACGAAGCGACTGCCAAAGTCACGTGCTGCAGTTTGTGCTCGCTGCATGCAAACAACTCGCCCTCATCGGCAAATAGTAACAAA